TAAATTTAAAAACTCATTATATGTTTTAATATAAAACATTTAATAAAATAATTTTTTAAATTTTGAATTAAATTTTAATTAAATAAAATTATCTAATTTAAGGTTAAAATTTTAATTATTTTTAAAATTTGATATTGATATACATTTTTTTATTTAAAAATATTAATTTATAAATTAATTTTAATTTATTAAATAATAAATATTAATTATTTATTATTTTTAATAGTTAAACTAAAAACAATTGGTGTTTTTGAAAACAAAATTAATAATTTCATGTCGCCATCATAATCATCATCACAAATTTAAGAAAATTGATTATTTGTCATTAACGGTCAATAAATAAATATTGTAAATCTCTGGCCCTCGGAGATCATTAGATCACAATGAGATTTGTAAATTGGAAAATGAGTTTGGACAATATTTTTGTGTTATTTTTTGGGATAAGTTTTTTATATTATTTTTTAGTACAATATGACATATCATTTAAATGATTAATTTTTTTATTCATATGAAATTTATAATATTAAATATATCTACTCATCTAATAATATATAAGAATTATATCAAAAATAATATTAAAAAATTATTCCTATAACACTGTACTTTGTAAATTATAGTAAAATAGATTCGTTTTCTTTTCCTTAAATACGTTAGAAGCTACCAATTTTCTTTTACTATAATATTAGTATTTTTTTCTTGAACATTCATGAGAAACTATAATATTAGTATTTAAATCTTTAATCATACAAATATTTACAGACTAATCAGTCCAAAACTAAAGTACATTTTCACTTAAGGTTACAATTAAGTAGTAATTTGGTTGAGCCAACTTGGGACAGGGTCTTAGAGCATGTTTGGTGTGGTTGGAGCTTTTGATATAAGTTCTGTTAGAAAGAATCTATTGTAGGAGGGTTGTTTTTTAGAAGTTAAAAGTGTTTGGTAAAATTTTTTGTAGAAGTAATTATAAAGTAAAAAGTTGTTTGGTAAATTTTTTTATAAGAGATTTTTTAATGTTAAAATGACTGAAATAGACATTATTTATTTTTTTATAACTTTTATTTTATTTTTTTATACTTTTATATGACTTTAAATTTATAATTAATTTAAAATTAATGATTAAAAATTAATTATT